CCTTTTGGCCTTAGGGGAGAATGAGAATCCGAGTGAGGACCCCTCTTCATGAAAACTATGTGTCGCCGTTTATCATTGCATACTGCGTCATTAATCCTTCTATTTGAATCGGAGTAAAGGGACGAGGCTACCCTAAACGCGAGGATCGTCTGTCCATCGGATGCACATCTGCGACATATCAGGCGTTAAAGGCCGCGACGGGCCGACGAGCCCGATTTTCCCTGGTCATATGGAGAAGACGCGCCTCGCACTTTACGAGCACTCTTTTATGGTTACCAAACACCGTCAGCATTGTGATCAAAAGCCATCCATTTCCCCAGGTGGCAAAAATTCTAGCAATAAACTTCCATAAATGGGACGTGATCTAGGTGGTTATCCTCTGACAAATAATACTGCTACACCCAATTATTTCACCACTCATACAAAAATTCACTATCTACCTAAAGGCGTATTTGTATTTAACTGACTGAGTTTGGGTTTTTGCCTCTCAAATGGGGTAATTGCTTATCCAAATTTCGTTTTGTTATGGGTACTTTTAAGGTAGAGCTTTTAATGCATACGACATTGCAAACAACGGCGAACATTTCCAAACCCATTCTAGACTAATTCCCCAGTGCTGCCAGTACCTATATCGGAGCTTACCTGTTCGTTTCCAGCTGCTTCTCCTTCTTGGCCAGGTTGATAGCTGAGGAAAACGACCGTCAGTCAGAGACTCGCGGCGACGCCAGAACAGTTTGAGGAGGTGATAATCGACGTGTTCGGCAACTGAAGACTGCTGAGGTTTTCAAAGTTACGTTATAGATCTATCACCTTGCATGATTAGACTGGTGTTAATAGTTATAATCGATAGTTTCACACACATAAAACGATGTTTTTATTCAACATACATTCAATACACTGAAACGGTTGGGGATTATTTAGATGTGAGCTGGCTGATTGAGAAAAGACTGTTTGTGCCATTCCTACCCGTCATAATACGATCGCAATTGCACACAGCACCTACCAACCAGCTGTGCTAGACATGCGCTTACGCCTATGGAAGGCCTTTCTTTCGTTTAACATTACCGAACAGTAGCGGCGGAACACCTTCAATTAAGGGGGGGGGGGGCACTGCCGACTTTTGGTCCCATTCTTTCCATGCAACGCCCATAGGGCTAATGTTAAAATGCGAAAATCAAAGGCGGGCACGGTGTCCCGCGGTGCCCCCCCCCCCCGTTCCGCCGCCTATGTTACCGAACTGATATCGATTTGGTATTTCAAACTGACTTTCTTGTGACATATGAATATTAAATATGATTGAATATGTATGCTGTTAGCTTGATGAATCTTCGATGCTGTTATTTTTTTTTTTTTTTGCAGAGCCAGGACTATTGCACCATTGCACCATTACAGAGCCGGGAGGATGATAGGCATTAGGGGGAGACAACCGTCTGGGTCGGCACCCCATGGTGAGTCGTCGGGGCTGAGCCCATCACGAGGACAGGCCACCCAGCCTCCTGACAGCCACCGCACCCGGCTACGGGTTTACTCCTAGGGTAGCTGCTCACATGGGATAAAGCTGCCCGTTCAGCCCGGAATAGGGTAAGAAGGATTTGACGATCTGAGGATCGAAACGACGGAACGTATGAATGCTTTGAATTTCGTTATGAAGTATACCTGACAATGTCAGCTTATAATGTATGTACTTACCTACCGTACATATCAAAACCTATGTTTTGGCGTCGCCGCTAGATGACACTACAATTTGCACCTGAAGGTATACTGTACCGCACATCACCATATCAAATTTGTACGCTTGCCGCTAGATGTCACTACAGTTTGCGCCTGAAGGCATACCGTACCGCACGTCTCCAACCCATGTAGTACCGCTGCCGCTAGATGTCACTATTGTTTGTACCTGAAGGTATACATACTGTGCCGCATGTCTTGGGACCGTTGTAAGGAAAGCTAACTGACATAAAATTCATGAGCTTCTCTTCCCTTCCTAAATATTTTCCCTAACATTTTTGTATTTTCCCACAGTTCTGGTTTGTAATCCGTTTTTTTTTTTGTTTCCCCGAGTCTTTTTTTTTCTAAAATCGACAACAACTTAACCCGCGCATGACTGGGGAGGGGGATGCTCTACAGAGCACCGTTCCGTGCTTCTATCCTCAGGATACTGAAATCCTTCTCCTCCAAGCCGCAACCCCCTCCGGGCTGGACAGGCAGCTTTATCTCAAGCGGGCTGCTCATGGAGCGGGACCGCTGCTCCCGAGGGAGCGCACCCCGTAGCCGGGTGCACTGAGTACCTTGGGGCTGGTCGGCCTGTCTTTCGGGACGGGCTCAGCCCCGGTGACTCACTAGGGTGCCTGACCAGACCAATGCCTCCCCAATTCCTATCATCCTTCCGGCTCTGAAATGGTCTCGTCAGACCGAAAGGGCCCAACCCAACAAAAAAAGCTCTACAGAGCCTCCCTCCTGTTTTTTTTTGCAATACATTCTAAACCCCTTGACGTATCAACGCGAAACTTGCTATACCTTCGGCAGCATCGATTTGACACCTTGTGTTTAAATTACACACTTCTAGCTATCATAAGTCGGCCGGAAATGACATCAGAGTGACGTTATGTCGGCCGATTTTGATGCAAAACATTGAACTGCGGTAATCGCTCTGAAAAAGCTCCGTTTTTAAGCAAGATCCGATTTCTTTGCATGAGTGGACTGAGCATATGTACAGCCCTCTGCAGACTGCGTGGTAGGTATTCTTTTCTCGACAAAACAGAGAATAACGCGAATACTATGCTATCGGGCACTCGGAAATCGTAACAGCAAGATGCGCGAGACTTCGCAGCTTACATTGGCATTATCATCGTATGCATTTTCCACCCAGTTTGGCAACAAAACCCAAAAGTTTATATTTGCCCCCAAAACGAACTTTTACATTTTTTGCCACACAAGGCGTATGCTTTGTTTATTGATAGGCCCTATCGAAGGAGTGGAGCATGGCGCATCTATTTGCAGTGAGTTTCGACCGACTGATAACATGACTTTTGAATTATTATCAGTTTTGTCGGAAAAAAGAATACCTACCACGCAGTCTGCTGAGGGCTGTACACGTGGCTATCAAACTGCTATCTCAGATATATATAAAAAACGACAATGTATTCAAATACACAATTAAAAAAACAGAGCTTTCGGTAACAAATACCTTGATCACTGTGTGTATGCTAAAATGAAGGAATATTTTCAAATATTTCAAAAGGCTTCATCGCACGGGATACAGTTCAAGACGCTAAAGGAATGAACCCACTCCTAGTTACGAGCGAGCGAGCGCAGCGAGCGAAGTGAGTCTTTTCAATATAACGGAAAAATCTCAGTATGAGCGGCCCGGCCCGGCCCGGCCCGGCCTGTAACGCTTTTGAGAGGCTTATATCTCAGCAACCGCTGGACCGATTGGCCTGCGGTCTTTTTTGTTGGGTAGCCCCATCCCTTCTACCCCGTAATTGACTACTTTTGATACATCTCAGTGACCGTCGTGGCACGTGCCACGTGAATAGTCAAGGGTGTTCAAGCTGTTTTGCAAAAGTAGTGATTTTGAGAGGCTCATATCTCAGCAGCTGCTTGGGCGATTGACTTGCGGTAATTTTTGTAGGGTAGCAGCATCCCTTCTACCAGGGCCTCGGCTAAGGAATTTTGACTGGTGGGCCACTTGGGCAGCGACATGGACTGACCTTCGTAGCCATAGCCCCCCCCCCCCAATTTTCGATTTCTCCCCAGATTTCGGCCACTTTATTCTGTAAAAAAAAACGTCAGGATGGCATTAAAAAATGTAAAAAACGGGCCTCGAACCCTCCCCCGACTCTTCAGAGAGAGGAGAGAGTAGATAGTAGGGACCCACAACCCTCTCAGTGGTGACACTCCGGCGGTGCACATAAAATCGCACAAGTATGCACAAAATATTGACGCAGATAAAACTTTGGACGATAACTTACGGCCGTTCGGATGTTAAAAATCAGCGAGCCCTGAGTGGATCGCTCGCCGACTAGTCGGAGATTCGAAAGCGGTCGGACGGGATCGGGCGTTGTCGGGAGGAATTGTGAACAGCACAAGTGCAACTTTAGTGAAGTCAGTTGTTGTAGCAGGAACCCCAAAAGGGGGTTGTAGCAGCAGCCCCAACATCTCTGAAAATGATCATTAAGCATATTGGTGTCGCATGGAAAAGAATTGACTCAAAAGCCCAAGCGCACTGTGCAACCCTAATATTTTTCTAAAAAACTAAGTAATGTACGCTTTTGGTGAACAGTGTCCCAAACTTCAGATTTCTCTTTGGTGTCTGAGTGGAAAATTCTAGCCACCCCAAATGTGAGAGTGGAAAGAAAATTATCCATTCTTATTCTTGAGTGTCATCTTCAGCCCAAATGAGAAATTTTTGGAACGCTGACTGTGAACGGTTCGAAATTCGTCCGACTGGTCAGATGTGTGACTGCAAGCATCATACCGGTCGTGAAGACGCATAATATTGCTTGCAGACTTCAATCTGCTGGAAGTCGCCGACACTACCTCTAGTTTGACTCTGGCTTATATCGTGTATATCGACGAGCCGTCTGAGATCGCTCACAGGCTTATACCCGACCGTCTGAACTGCTCTGTTCTTTATTCGTAGTTTTTCTTGTAACCGACTGGTCTGCGGCAGATGCTTATGTGACTGCAACCACTCGATCGATCAGAAAGCTTGCAAGAACTTTCGCAGACCTCGATCGGCTGGAAGCCGCAGACACTATCTGTAATTGACAGAGGCAGACGTCTTTCACGATTATTGCATAAAATTTAAAGCCTCGGTCACACTTCACCGGATTGGACCAACGGACGAGAAACGGACGAGAACTGTCAGCGTCCGGTGATGTCCGTTTGCAGGGTATATTGTCCGTTTGTTTCCGTTGGACGTCCGTTTGTCATCCGTTAATATCCGTTCCATATCTGGTGGTGTCCGGTTGAGCACACCGGACACCACTGGACATGGAAGTACTGTGACGTCACATGGAGATCGAAGTAAAAATCATACAGCAAAGACGTAGGTGGTGGATTTTTAAAGTTGTGGGTACTATAGTCCACCCAAGAGGATATTGCAAACAATAGGTTGAAGTTTTTTTCACAAGAATATGTTTCACCGATGGGTACTTTACAGCCTGAAAATGTACGATAAGATCTGCTTTTTCAATTTGAAAAGTGAAAAATGTGAAAACTTCGATTTTTCGGAAAATAACTGGTGGGCCAAATCTTTGAGGCTGGTGGGCCATTTCGGGTCACTGGTGGGCCATTTGGCCCACCAGTTAACATGTTAGCCGAGGCCCTGCCTTCTACCCAATATAGGATACTCTCGATGTATGTGGGTCACCCCCAGTGCACGTGCAAAATACAACAATAAGAGGTGCCAAATTTGTTCCCATTTCAGTAACTCGGTAATTACTGGGGCGATTTCGCTGAAACTTGGCATACAGGTAGGCACCCACCAGGCAATGCATTCCCATGTGTTGCGGTTAGGGTGCTACTGCACGTGCGCACGTGCAGGGGGCGTTTCCAGATCTCGAGAACGGCTGGGCCGATTGCGCTCAAATTTGGTACACGGTTGGGGACCAGTTAGTAGGGTGCCGTGCAAAAGTCATTTTGGACCCCGTTTGCACGTGCGCACGTGCAGAATGCCGCTTCCAGATCTCAGGAACGGCTGGGCCGATTGCGTTCAAATTTGGCACACCGCTAGCGACCGGTTAGAAGGGTGCTTTGCACAAGCCAGTTGGAAGTACCCTCTCGCCCTTCCGCACGTGCAGGGCTCACTATCTCGCTCGCTCGTTCTTCGCCCAAAAGGCGTTTTACTGGTATTAAATGTTTCGCGTGAGATGATATGAGCGGCTGAACTGTATCCTATGCGATGAAGTCAATTTGCCTTTTGAAGTATTTGAAAATATTCCTTCATTTTAGCATACACACAGTGATCAAGGTATTTGTTACCGAAAGCTCCGTTTTTTAATTGTGTACCTATTTGAATACATTGTCGTTTTTTATATCTGTCATGGATAACACACAATTGCTATCTCAGATTTCCAAAATTTTGAAAATATCGGGAAATATAGATAAATATACAAGTACAATTTTTTTTTATTTTATCTAATACCTTTTTGACTTTACGAAAGAAACTGGAATATAATATATGATAGTACATCCACCAATGAACTCCTCTAGAAAGTTGTAGCCCAATACCTTCGAAAATGGCTGAGTTATACGTATTATAGTCGAAATTTCACAATTTTAGATTTTTCTAATCCATTTTCGGTGCGTAGGTATTTGACATGGTTCAGTAACATAAATGGCACCATCTTGTTCCTGAGCTCAAACTGCAGCTGAAAGTCACATTTTTTCTTGAAAGAAAATCATTATCAAAATATGACCTTTTTTGACCTGAAAGTGACCTGACCTCAGCTAAATGCAGCTGAAAATGACCTCGAATAGCTCAGACGATACTGTCTTCGAAATCTATGAGTAAAATGGACCATAAAACATGCGCCACGTGACCGATACATGATATAAAATTTTCGTGACCTAGGATGACCTGGCCTTGACCTGAAAAATTCGAAGTAAAGGTTCAAGTCAGGGTATCTAAGGCGTAAACCATCAAGGAATCAATCAAGGAATGCGTAAACCAAAAATGAGCCTGATCGGACTTGTTAGCCGGAGGCCAGAATCTAAATTGTGAACAAGCAACAATGCCGATAACGTTTACTTTGACCTTGCCTGTGACGTCATCAGAGACCTTGAGGTCAATGAAATTAGCTTTCGTTAAACAGTTTTCCTTGGGCTATCAGACACCGTTCGAATTTCGACGATCGGCCCAGTAGTTTCGGAGATAGGATGGGGGGGGGGGGCTCTGTAGAGCCCCCCTCAGTCACTCACGTTATGGAAAATACCCCAGTCATGCGTGGGACAATGTGTGTTGTTTATTTTGCACTGTGCACTCTCTACATGCATTGCTCTATCCAAAGTCCAAACGGGCCATGCGTGGTGCTCGGGCATGTTTCCGTGTACTATGTGGATGGACCGCATGATACACGGATTCTCCGTGCAGTGTGTGTACGGATCACATGCTGCACGGCCTCTCCGTGTACTATGGGTACGAACTGTATGCCGTACGGTTTTTCCGTGTAACCTGTGTGCTGTGTGGGATCCGTATGGTTTGTGTATGGACTGTGAACCGTGTGAGGTATATATGCAGCCACTGACCGTTGGGCACCACCGAGGTATGCAGGTTGGCCAGGTCGTGTAGTCTGTGTATGGACTGTGTCTGTGTGTAAACTGTGTCTGTGTGAAGTATACATGCAGTCACTGACCGTTGGGCACCACCGAGGAGGACTGCAGGTTGGCTAGGTCGTCTGTGGTCTGTGTATGGACTGTGGACTGTGTGAGGTATACATTCAGTCACGTCACTGACCGTTGGGCACCACCGAGGAGGACTGCAGGTTGGCCAAGTCGCGCGCCGTGCTGCCGTTGGTGAAGATGTAGAAGGCCACCTCGGATCGCTCCAGCTGCAGCGCCGTCAGCAGCAGGCCGATGTCGGTCGTCTCCTCAATCTGCACAGCAAACACAAACACACGCCCGTCAGAGCCGGCCTGCTCGACAGGCTAACTCTCGTGGTACGCTTCTTTTGAAATCTCAGCTATCGTTTGGCAAACTAAGGAGAGGATCATACAATGACGCCACAATTTTCGATCTTGCGACTTTCTCAGGCATGTTTAACAGTCAGCTGCGACAACTGCCATTGGACATGATGTCAGCTGATGACTCGTCATCAGAGAGTCACCACGCCCTTTTCTGACATAATCCGTCTCATCACGCGCAGTGACCAGCTCGGGCGGCCGGCTGCACGGGGGAGCGGCAGCACCCGGCTGACAGACGTACCGCGTGTTTGACCTCGAGCATGCCGCGCTGGTAGATGACCACCGCCGACATGGAGTAAATGTTCTGCACGATCAGCGCCACGATCGGGATGAACGGCAGCAGCAGCATCTGGGCACAGCGCACCGCAGGGCGGCGTCAGGTACAGTACAGCAGGACAGGATCAGATACAGTACAGTATGTAGGGCGGGGTCAGATACAGCACAGGGCACTGCAGGACGGGGTCAGGTACAGTACAGCAGGACAGGACCAGGGGCCGTATTCACGTCGACCATTTTCGTAAGAATTTTCTTAAGTTTGACCTAATTCTTTAAGTATTTTTTTTTTAATCACGTGAATGAACTCCGTTGATAAAAACTTAACCCGCGCACCGACGGGGGTCTGCGCCAACTTCGCACCGACGGGGGGGGGGGGGCGGATGACCGTCCCCCTGAGATCTCGAGAACGAAGCAAGATAGCGACAAGCGGTAAACGGCAAGGGATACGCACGGACAAGGTCTACAATTTTTACAAAGGTCATTTTCAGGTCAGGTCAAAGATGACGTCACAGGGGTCAAAAAAGTCAAAATGGCGGCGCTAGGTATGGAGAGAGTTTTTCTCGAATAACTTTCGAACTAGTCCATATAGGAATAAACTAAGGGCAGCATCGTGATCCTCTCGTCAATCCGCATCAAATGATATATATGTTGACCTCGAAAGGTCAAGGTCAAAGGTTGACCTCAGGTCACGTGACCTCGAGGTCATCATGTATATCATTCGATGCGCCTTGACGAGCTGAACACAATGAGACCATCTGCGCGGCTGTATCTTGTTCCTGTACGGAGTTATTGTCAAAAACCGCTGGTGACCTTTGATGACGTCACATGACCTTACAGCTGCCCAACAGCAAAACAGACCTCAAGGTAGTGAAGGTTGATCGTATATGAGGTCATGTATGGTTTATGGGGCCATTCCGACCCGTTTTAGTGGTAAAAACAGGGAGTTGATTTATCCCCCATTGACTAATAATGGGGAGGTCGAGAAATTGACCTGACCTTAGGTCACCGATATCAAAATTCCGAGATACACAAATTGTAGCTACTAATGACCTTATAACATCCTGCGACTTTCAAAGGCCTCCGACATCTACTGTAGCTCTGGCACGGTGACAAAGTTGCAAAAAAGTGACTTGAGGTTGGGTCATTCAAAGTGACCTGGTGACCTGACCTGAAAAGTTAGGAGGTTCAAACTTGCACACCATGTGTAAAATTGATGAGAGAATAGGCGTACCAAATTTCGCGGCGCGTAGCAGTTTTCCCGCTATTCGCGAAAAACCTCAGGGGGGGGGGGGGCGGATATCCGCCCCCCGTCGGTGCGCGGGTTAACCCGGCACCGCCTAGGCTATTTCCGTACCCACATCAGCCTGGGGGGGGGGTCGGATCCGACCCCCCCCCCCCTGTTATCTCGAGAACCAATGGTCGTATCGAGCCCCGCGAGGCGGCGTTCGAAAGGTCTCTACGAGACCTTCCCAAAGCACTCTTAAGATTTTAAGATTGAGGTCAACTTTCGGGTCAAGGTCAGGTCAAAGGTCAAATTCAGGGGTTTTTCATGATTAGGCTTACGGACAGCGGAATCGATAGCTGCTGCTCGAACTCACCACAAATGACCTCAAAGACCTAGTGAAGGTGCCATGTGCGTATAGGGGTCATACTAAGTACGGGTCAAGGTCAGGTCAGGTCACGAAAGGTCACGGTTTTCACTTTCTGCTACATGGGCGTGCGACACATGTTTTATGGCTTATTTTTCACGCCAAATCCGATGGTAATGGTTATATGTGACCCCAAGTCACTGCGCTGGTGATAAGTGTGCATTGAAAGCATAAAAATCGTTTATACTAAACGAGGGCTGAGAAAAAAGGTCAATTTTTCAACTTTTTATTTTTGACATAAAAATGCTTTTTTCTAGACGAGCTTTGTCCCAGGAATCTAGTGGTGCCATTTGTTTTCACATGCGATGTTCAGAAGTGCCTCTAATTCGCTAAAATGTTTATGACGTCACCATGCCCTATGCATGTTGGAGCTATTTTTTACAATTTGGGGGTCAAAAATCAAGATAGAAAGTTGAAATTTGGGACATCTAATGTTCTAATAGAGCTCTATAACATATATTCCGGTTTTTTGGAAATTCTCAAAATTTTGGATTTTATTAGCTGTTTTCCAAAAAATATAGTTTTTTGAATTTTTAGGGGTGAAAAACGCATTTTATGGAAAATCCGAGATAGCCATTTTAAAGAACTCGTTGAGCTGCGTCTTTTCATGTCCTCAATTTGCAATTTGCTTAAAACCTCGATTTTTGGCGATTTTTTTAACATTTACCATTTTTTGACTGAAAACGCCATGTAGTTACATCACTAAAATCAATATATCTCAGAAATTTTTGAAAATTTTTTCTTAAAAATTGCACAGGAGACGTCAAATTGATGGGGGAGAAGGTATGCGAAGTTTCAAGTTGATAGCGCAAGCGGTTCATGAGTTATTGAAGACAAACGGAGGGGGGGGGGGGTCGGATCCGACCCCCCCAGGCGGTCGCGGGTTAAGAAGTGTCGACGTGAATACCAAATTATACTTACGAAAGAAAATCGACTTACGAAGTCGACGTGAATACGGCCCCAGATACAGTACAGCAGGACAGGATCAGATACAGTACAGCAGGACAGGACCAGACACAGTACAGCAGGACAGGAGATCAGATACAGTACAGTAGGGCGGGGTCAGATACAGCACAGGGCACTGCAGGACGGGGTCAGGTACAGTACAGCAGGACAGGATCAGATACAGTACACCGCAGGACAGGGTTAGACACGGCACAGCAGAGGGTTAGATACATGGTGCACCACACCGGAGGGAAGAGATGTAGTCTGACGTCCTACCGGTGTGATGAAGTTTACTGTCCTACCTGTGTGATGTAGAATGACGTCCCACCTGTGTGATGTTAGGCTGATGTCCCACCTGTGTGATGTAGGCTGACGTCCCACATGTGTTGTAGGCTAACGTCCCACCTACATACATATGTGATTTAAGCTAACGTCCTACCTGTGTAATGTAGTCCGACGTCCCACCTGTGTAATGTAGTCTGACGTCCCACCTGTGTGATGTAGGCTGACGTCCCACCTGTGATGTAGGTTGATATCCCACCTGTGTGATGTATTCTGACGTCCCACCTGTGTAATGTAGGTTGATATCCCACCTGTGTGCTGTAGTCTGACGTCCCACCTGTGTGGTGTAGGCTGACGTCCCACCTGTGATGTAGTCTGATGTCACACCTGTGATGTAGTCTGATGTCCCACCTGTGTAATGTAGGCTGACGTCCCACCTGTGTGATGTAGGCTGACGTTCCACCTGTGTGATGTAGGTTGATGTCCCACCTGTGTGATGTAGAATGACGTTCCACCTGTGATGTAGGTTGATGTCCCACCTGTGTGATGTAGAATGACGTCCCACCTGTGATGTAGGCTGACGTCCCGCCTGTGTAGTCTGACGTCCCACCTGTGTGATGTAGTCCGAGGTCCCACCTGTGTGATGTAGATGCGCCGGCCGGTCTTGGAGACGGGGTTGATGTCCCACCTGTGTGATGTAGATGCGCCGGCCGATCTTGGAGACGGGATTGATGCGGCAGCACTGTATGGTCATCATCAGCGTGGACGACACTCGCGAGCTGGTCGTCTTTCGGCTGTGGTTGGACTCTGTGTCCGACTCTGCGGGAGAAACACACACGCATACGCTCACACATACATCGAAAGTTAACGCACTACGAGTATGTAGATAATGGCAGAAGGCGGCACTGGCCAAATGTCTGTTTTCTACGTGGAAATTGGAAAAGGTCCTATATAATCATTTCAGGCAACACGTTTCCGGTCGGTGTAACCCGTTACCCAGTACCCACAAGCTGCAGTACAGCCCACGATTATGCAATTTGCATGCGATGGAGGAGTCTTGCCGACGTCGGCTGGATGATCGCGCCTAGTGCCTATTTGCGAAGTCTAGAGAATGGACTGCCCAGTGCCAATACACGGACGATAAGTTAATTAATGAGAAAGGCGGTAAGGACCCTCCTACCACTCCGCCATAATACATACTTATCTGTCATTTATTCAAATTAGCGGCTTACTTGATAAGCACACTGCAAAAGAGCATCTAGTTTATTTTGCTGTCCTGTATCATAAAGAAAATAAATGAAACGCAAGTGAACGGTTTCGTTGCGTTCTACTATGTTTCGATTTGTTTTGTGGACCGTTCAGTGGGATCCGATCTTTTTGTAATCATAGCTGGCTTACACTGAGAGCAGATGGAGCTTTCGCGGGACGTGAGCGGGGCGATGTGCCACACTAAATATCTCTGAGGACTATTAGGGCCTGTCAGCTGCGCTAAAGGGAGACGTGCAGTGCAGACACAAGTCAGAGCTCAAAGCCAGGCCAGTAAGCGCAGGTCAGAGTTCGTGAGCAGGCTGCAGTGTATCGGGCCGGCTGCGGTATTCCAGTAAAAGGACGACGCCTGTCGCTCTGCATCCGTCACGCTGCCTGTCTATTTACTATCCTACAGGGTACCTGCCCGTATCGTATGCATCCAACAGTTTGTCGTATTGTATATGACACAGACAGACGGACAGACGGACAGACGGACACACGGACACACGGACACACGGACAGACGGACAGACGGACAGACGGACAGACGGACAGACGGACAGACGGACAGACGGACAGACGGACAGACGGACAGACGGACAGACGGACAGACGGACAGACGGACAGACGGACAGACGGACGGACGGACGGATGGACGGACGGAGGTCAGAGAGGGCAACATATGCCGCGTCTCGGTTTCGGCCATTCCCACGGCTGGATGCGGCCAGCAATACGTTCCCGTTACGAGAGCATGTTAACAGCCAGTAGATCCAGGAAGCTTCTAGGCTGCTGGCAGCCCGCGGCCATTTCAATCGCGGAGGAGCGCGTGACATGACCACCGAACGAGTGTCCCTCGCTCGGCTGTATAAAACCGGCATCATGATTCCCGGGTCGAAGATGAGCGCCATAACTGTATAACGCGGGCCAAAACATCCCAGGGACCGTAATTGTATAACGATATTGCTCAACATCCTTCGCCGACATTGAACTGCACTCATCTGTGGGGATAGCCACCAGACGCAGGGAGTCCGCTGACCGCACTAATGTTATTGTTTTTAGCATGCGGAATGGTGCCATTTCGGCGCGTGCTCACTGTTGAAATGTGTATGATTACGGAGCGAGCGAAGCGAGCGGAGTCTTTCCTTAGATTAACGGAAATTTCCGAGTACCTATGAGCGGCCGGCTGGCCGGCCGGCCGTGCGGACGCTTTGCGAGGCTTATCTCACCAACCACTTGACCGATTTACATGCGGTAATTTTTGTAGGGTAGCTCCATTCCTTCCACCAAGTATTGGACTATTCCCGATGCATGTGGGTAACCCCTTATGCACGTGCCACGTGCAAAACGAAGAGGTGTCAGTTTTGTAATAGTTGTAATATCTCGGTAACTATACTGGGCCGATTGCGCTGAAAGTTGGCATGTAGGTAGGCACCCACTAGGCAATGCATATCCATGTGCCAGAGTTGGGGTGCTGCTGGGCGTGCGCACGTGCAGGGGTCGATTCCGAGAACGGCTGGACCGATTGCGCTCAAATTTGATACACGGTTAGGGACCGGTTAGGGTGCCATGCACAAGTCAGTTGGGACCCATTTAGCACGTGCGCACGTGCAGGGTGCCGCTCCTAGATCTCGAGAACGGCTGGGCCGATTGTGCTCAAGTTTGGCACATCGCTAGAGACCGGTTAGTAAGGTGCCGTGCACAAGTCAGTTGGAGGTACCCCCTCCCAATTTTTGCACGTGCAAGGCCCACCCTCTCGCTCGCTTCCCCCTCAGCTCAGTGCTATAGGGACTCTTTTACATAAAGGTGAGCTTTACGGTTCGGTTCTTCGTAAGTTCAATATGGAGACTCTTATTTTGGCACCGGATATGCTCTACCTAACACAACTTCAAGCACATGGAAGCGCGATTGTATGGGCTTCTTAACCCTCGCCCTGGCAGGGCATTTTTCATAACACGGCCTGGCAGGGGGGGGGGGGTCGATGCGACCCCCCTCGCGACTGGCTCCTATGGCACCTAAAAACACCAAATTTGGTAGGTAGGTGGGCCCCCTGGAGTTCTCACCCCTGTGCAAATTTGGTTGCTCTAGGTCAACATTTAGGGGGGTTTTGGGGGTATAAATGTTAAAATTTCGCTAAAAACAGGTCAAACGTTTTTGGCTTATAACTTTTGAACTAATTAACCCTCGCATGTGTGCGGCGTTTGCCAGCTTCTAATGTGTAGGGGGGGGGGGGTCGGTTGGACCCCCCCCCCCTTGCCGTTTGGCCCCTGATCGAGCTAGAGCTTCGCGAAAAAAACGAGCGTGTTGCCCGTGACGAGAGGAAGCCGATGATACCCAATTTTAAGGTCCTAGGTCATTGGTTGACCTTCCAGGTCAGGTCAATGACCCAAAGTCGGGAAAATCGGGACCTGTTAGAAAGTCGTAAAGTGTGGCTGCTAAGGGGTTTTTCGGGGTGCTGATCACGAATATCGTGTTAGTTTTGATCACAGATGATGTCTTGAAGCATTTAGACCAGGTCGGGTCAGGTCAGGTCAGGTCAACCTGTAGGCGTCGTGACGGGTATTCGTAGTACGTGTCAACCGCCTCTGACAGCTTCGTAACATGTTACGAAGTCACCAAAACTACTTCATAAATGTTCCAATGGTTGCTAAATTCGAATTCAGCTCCAAAAACTAGCCTAGAAACATGTAAAACTCGAAAAAGTGACCCGAGGTCACCCGAGGTCACCAAAGGTCAATGACCTGACCTGACCTTCAGGTGACCTTGACACACACGGGAGTAACATCAAATCACATGTTTGAACGTTTGAAACCACGAAAAGCTTGCAAACACGCGGCTAGTGCGAGCCGACATACGCGAAATCGCGATTCCGGCCAAACATGGTCTCGGAAAAGAGGTCACAGGTCAAAGGTCATTTGGGTCAGGGTCATGAAATTTTCAGGGTAGGTGTAAAATTGATCAATGCGAGGGTACTGAAAGTTTCGTCGCGATCGACCGCTTTTTACGCGAGTTATTCGCGAAAAACCATGGGGGGGGGATCCATCCGACCCCCCCCCCCCTACACATGCGAGGGTTAAGATAAAGAAAAAAGAAAAGCACCAGTGAACTCAGCACGTCAAGGCGCGTCGAATGATATACTTTTTTGCTTGCTTAAGTGTATTTAAAGTTTTTCTTAATTTTTAAGTAAACTTAAATTAATTAATTAAGTTAAAGTTAACCAAATTGCATCATATCGCATATCATTCGATTCGGCTGATCACCAGGAACACAATGATACCATTTTTTAAGCTCTAGCGTCATTATGTGCCAAGTTATTGGCAACAACGTCATTTGACCTCAGTTGACCTCATGTCACCTGACTGACCTGACCCATAGATAAGTTCATCAAACAAAGAAGCAACAAGTGACCTGCTGTTAAGTACTGAAGTTTCAAAGGACAAAAGTGATAGAACGAAGCGGATATCTGCAGTATTTTCCGAATTTAGTATTTTCCCATAGGCTTAACATTACGACGTAATGACCTCTAACTGACCTCAGGTCAGTGACCTCAAAAACCCGAACTATATGTTATACAACTCGGTGAACTTAGCATACCCTGAAAGTTTGAAGGAAATCAGTCAAAAACTGTGAGTTGGACAGGTGCAAAAAGAAAATTGAAATTTGACCATGACCTTGTACCGGTTTTTCTGACCTGGTGACCTGACCCCAAGGTCACCAGGGCCTGAAATTTTCAGGTCATATGTAAAAAGGTTGCCCCATAGGCTGTGCCAAATTTGGAGGCGCTGCGCGCCGTCGTTTTTATGCTATCTTCGAAAAACCTTAACCCTCGCCCTGGCAGGGCATTTTTCATAACACGGCCTGGCAGGGGGGGGGGGGGGTCGATGCGACCCCCCTCGCGATTGGCTCCTATGGCACCTAGAAACACCACATTTGGTAGGTAGGTGGGCCCTCTGGAGTTCTCGCCCCTGTGCAAATTTGGTTGCTCTAGGTCAATATTTAGGGGGGTTTTGGGGGGTATAAATGTAAAAATTTCGCTAAAAACAGGTCAAAAGTTTTTCGCTTATAACTTTTGATCTAATTAAGATAGAGCAAAAAGAAAGGCACCAGTGAACTCAGCACGTCAAGGCGCGTCGAATGATATGCTTTGTAGCTTGCTTAAGTGTACTTAAAGTTTTTCTTAAATTTTAAGTAAACTTAAATTAACCCGCGCCCGGCTGGGGGTCCTGGATTTCCACGCCCTGCTGGGGGGGGGGGGGGGTGTTTGAACACCCCCCCCCTTGTAACTCGGCTCCTGGGCCACGTAGCGATACGCGGAAGGCGGCGTTCGAAAGAGCGTCAAAAATAATGACGAAATCACTTCGGTCAATTTTTTTGTCAGGTCAAAGGTCAGGTCACCAGAGGTCATTGAAGGCAAAATTTCGCCGATTTCCAGGTCGAATGTCGAAAATTTCCAAGAAGCCAACGCATAACTCGGGAACCAATAGAGCTACAGCGCCGCGGAAAAGCGCATTCGAAAGCCCTATTAACGCCCTTTCTGAGTAATTCTCTCAGATTTGACCTAACGTCAACGGTTTT